ATGGGGGTTGACTTCTTTTGTTTTGTCTCCCCCCCCCTCCGCTTTGTTTTGTTTTACTATTCATCTCCATGTGGTTTCTCTCCTAACACCAGATATTTTGTTTGTGTTGTTTTGTTAGGGTACGCTATTTTATTGAACAAACGTATTATTCTTAAGCTATCTTTTAAGGAAGAAAACTGAAAATTGCTTTATAGCATCACTTAAATCAGTGCTTTTAGATGATATTAAATCTACATAATAACTGAATCATAGCCCCAAAGTATATCTTTATGGTGAGTTTGAAAGGAGGGATTCCAAGGGATAACTTTTATCATTAAATTTTCAGAATGCTCAGTATGCTGACAACTAATGGCCATTTTATTCTGAAATCTTTGTCCCAGTATTTCATATTTTAATTTGCTAAAGATCCTGAAGTAAATGGCTAGCCCAATAATTGGCCTAAATCTAACATGATATAGATATTTCCCTTCAAATCATAGAATTTGTGTATGCAAAAGGAGAACTCAAATCATCTCACAATCAGCTAAGGAAATCACTGGTGATCAGCTAGGGCAAAATGTTGGAATAAAAACAAGTTATTCATACACACACATACACACATATGTAACCAAGAAAACATATGAGCCCTGTGGTCACTGCAGTGTGACTGCAATAGCAATTTTTATCTTTGAAGTGCTATGTAATTTCTTAGCCGTCTCAAATCACTAATTTAATAGGTCTGGGTCGTGTTTATTCTTACTCGGAATCAGATGCAGTGACATCGACGGAGGCAAAACGCCGCGTGCGTTTACCTGCACTTTGTGCTGTTAGAAGTGGATTTCCAGTAAGACCAGGCACAGGGGTGTATGAATTCCTGTTGAAAATTAATCGTGAGCTGGAAATACTGATCAAACCGTTTGCATCCGAAAAAGGTGTTTACTGTTCGAGAAATACGAATGTGCCACAGGAATAAAAAATGGATGACTTATCTGATGTGAAAATTTAGCTTGAGGAGAAGGGCAAAGGGGAGGGAGGGAGGGAGGGAGG